GACTTGTAGACCCACCTCATCCTAATTTAACAACCGATTGAACTTCTGGTCTACTTTTAAACAAAAATATGTCTCGAGTAGAACTAGACTAGTGTATGAATTTCATGATTACTTTCTCTCCAAAGCCCAGCATGAGCACAAGCCAAGCTACTCACTAAGATAGTCCAAGCTACTCATGCCGAGCAACTAACTTTCAGACAACAAAGGGCAAACTTTGAGCTAGAACTAATGGATTAGCACTAATAATCAGTTTCCCAAAAGGGATTTCTTTCATATGCTTGCTGGCTAAATAAAGAAGCCTTCCACACGTGGAATTGTAAGCAAGCGACCAGAAAGGATGGAATACTAGGCTTGCCCTTCAACAAGACGCAATGACGAAGGAGATCAATACTCTTTTTCCAGTCTATAAACTAGTAGGATGGTTGATGGATAAAAGTTTATCGTGTTGAATATGTCACTTCGAAGTCTTTTTGGATAAGAATCATTATTATCATTATCATAGATAACATCAGTTCAACTCTCCACTGCATGCATAAGATTGAATTACGTCGTTCTTTTTCATGTTAGACATTACCAAATGAGTAATTAATTGATGAATTAATCTAGTGGTACGTGCACTTAAGGATGTACAGTTCCCTCACATAAGGGATGTGATCCACCCAAATAAATATTTTTTATTTGGTAGGTATATTTTAATGTACCACTAGTACCACTATTAATTGATTAGACTAAATTCAAATAAAAATAAATTACATGACATATTAAAGTAACCAGTGAAGTTGACAGAGAAACAAAAAGAAAAATCCGTTCATTGCTTTTTTTTTTTTTTGATATCTAAGTATTTTAGCTTACACTAGACTAAATCCTGGACCTTCAAGACCCTTACCCCTAGAATCTTGGAGATGGTAAACCGCGGAGTATATCTCAAGTGGATCACAGGTTCCTCCATCACCTGTACACTTTTGCACACAAGAGATTCTCCTCCATAGTGATTGCTCCATATCAAATAAATTTGACCGCAGATTTTCACTAGGATTCGAACCTCCACCCTTGCTCTGGAAGCAAGACAATATTGATTGATCCACCAGTTGTGCCGTGCGCAGGGTGCGTTCATTGCTTTTTTAAATGGAAGGAAAGGTACCAATCGAACAACAAATTGCAAATCGATCGAGATAAAGGGAATTAGTAATAGAAACTACTTTGCTCTGCATTCGAGATTCTTTCTGCCGAAACCCAGAAAATATCGAAGAACGAAAGGCAAAAAAACTCGAAAAGAATGGATGCAGAAACCCAACAAAGAGTCGAGGAAACGGTGTTGGAAATTTTGAACAATTCAAATATGGAAGAAACAACGGAGTACAAGATCCGAAAGTCCGCATCCGATAAGCTGGGAATCGATCTGTCCGACCCGACTTGGAAGAAGTTCATTAGGCAGGTAGTGGAGTCGTACCTTCAGGAACAACAGGCTAAAGCAGAACAACAGGAGGAGGAGGAGGAGGAGGAAGAGGAAGAGGAAGAAGAAAATAATAGGAAAAGAGGCGAAAAAGATGATGACGAGGGTGGCCTGATTATTTGCCGACGAGTGAGTTTTTATATTAAATTTGGCATTAATTTTTATTTCCTGTTCGATTCTGTATATATTATTGATTGATAAACCAGGAACGCTACTTATTTATTGAGAATTTGACTCAGTTTTAGTGATTTTACATATTTATTAGTTGATGTTTAATGCTGATTATTCACTTATTTACGTTGAGGTAGTTTAAGCTTTTTGAGTTTCTGGTTTTTCTTGTCTTCATTTTTAATTTTGAAATTTTAGGGTTTTCGCAGGATATGAACCCCTAAGGTCTTGGTTTAGGATGATATTTATTTAGACTCTGTCTTTGGTTTTCTTGGATTTTTAATCTAATTGAAAAATGCACAAGCAGCACAACTTTGTTTATTTGCAGGGAACTGAAGGCAGCCATTGAAATTTGATATTCAACTCGAACTTGAATTGGTTTTCCCATTCCAAAGCATGAAATCTGGCAAACACTACCTTAATGTTTATATCAACTGCTTAGAAGTTAGAAAATAAATCAAATGAGATGCTATTTGATTGCAATAGGCATTAGACTCCAAGTATTTTTGGCAAGTCTGAATTCCCAAGAATGGTGTGTGAACCTATTTTCCTTTTAAATAATGCTATCTATATTCAACGATTGCTAATAATCATCATATCTGGCAGCATGTTATTTGAGACATTAGCTTGTAATTAGCTTGTCATCCATTAATGTCTCAAATAATAAGCGGCCACATAGAATAGCGTCTCTCTTTCTTTTTACATTTCCTTTTTTCTTCAGTTTCTTATTGATTACCGATGTTTTTTTCTTTTATAATTTGGTATAGTTATCTGATAAGAGAAGGGTGACAATATCTGATTTTAGAGGGAAAACTTTGGTATCAATTAGGGAATATTACAAGAGAGATGGCAAGGAGCTTCCAACAGCTAAAGGTAATTGTTTCATTTGATTGCTTTTACTACAAGAAATTTCTGAATTACTTTACATGTTAGTTTCCTGGTGAACCCTTTATTCTAGGCTTTTTGGTGATAAAAATATTGGATAATTTACACAAATATGATTAGTTTTGTAAGACCTTTGCTTATTGTTATAAGTGGGGTTGTATCTATGAAAAAGTCGAGACAAGAGGTTGTTTCTGGAAAGGAGATCAAATATTGAGCTTACAGACAAGATGGTTCTCCCTGTTCTACATTATACAATGAACCCAACGTAGTCACAATGGTCTTTGCATTGTTGTATACCTTTCTTAGAGCCAACCGACAAAGCAATCTCAGAGGTACTTAGTCTTATATCAATATTAGGATATCTGTGTAATACATCGATCTATTTAGATAGTATGGTACATAAAATGATGGATCCTACAAGATTGGAGAATATAGAGAGCATGATTATTGAGAACCTCTTTACCTCTTCATGAAAATGAGATCCTCTCTTGCAGGAATTAGCCTGACAACTGAGCAGTGGTCATCCTTCAAGAAAAATGTACCGGCAATAGAGAAGGCCATCAAGAAAATGGAATCTTGGTGAAACTTGAATATGGCAGGCCAGTTGATTCTAGACATGTTTGGAAAATCGGTCATTTTAGAATATTGAAACCTTCTTTTGGCTCCGTTTTTGGGGGTTTCGAAACTGATCGTTTGGATCTTGCCCGTCATCTGGTTTTTTGTTATGTAATATGCATTGCAACCATTATCTATACATCATCTTCGTCATGATGCTCTCAATAGTATGCCTTACTGTATCACGCCTAAACCTTTACTACTAAATGTCGACTGCCACTTCTTTGGAGTTACTGGTTTTCGCTATTTTAGTTTCGATGCTTGATTACTATCATCTCATCTCGAGTTTGAATTGCTGTTAGCTTTATTCAAAACTATTGTGCAGCTTTAGTTTATTTTAGCATCAATTTGATCTTGATTCCTAGTAAACATTGAAGCCTAAACATAGATGTTTTGGAAGGAGTCATTGTATCCGCTGCCCCACCACTTAGAATTTTCACCTCACTGCTTAGCCGAACATATCTTCTCCACATTTGGGCCTATCAGAACAGCTAGCTGATTAATTATTTGATTCATTGTCTTAATGTGTATTAGCCTTTAAATTTTGGATTATTAATTAGTATGCATTTATGTTCTTTATGAGGGAAAAAATGGTAATTGACAGAAATGAATATTTATGTGAGGGATAAAAATATAAATGGGAAAAGGGCCCAACTGTGTTCGAACCAGTGACCTCTTGATCTGCAGTCAAATGCTCCATCACTGATCTATGGACCCCAGTCACTATTTTATTATTTTGATTAATATATACCTTTTCAATTATTTGAGAACAAATCGTTATAGTGTATTTTTTTAGTACAAATTATTATACATGATATTTAGAACAAATTGTTATAGTGCATTCTTTGAGAACGAATTATTAGTGTTTTTTTTCCTTGACCACAGACTTTGATAAAAAATTATTTTGGTCCATTTGATAGCATTAAATTTCATGAAAAATGTCACATTCGAGGAATTCGTTTTCTACTTTGGTTTGATACGAAAGTGGAAATAAAGTTAGAATTTCAAAGTACAAACACTTAAAAGCATGTTTTTGTTCGATTAAGTGAAAATCGAATTCTTATGGTTTTGGCGGTTTTTTTTTTTTCCAATTTACGTGGAATTTGTTTGTCTTTTTCATCTTTGCAATTAAATAGACCCTTATAGTTTTTTTGTTTTTGATTTTGTTGTTTTATCGATGTACTTTAAAAGTAAATATTATCTTACTATTAAATAAGTAACTAATTTTTTATTTACTTTCATAAAAACACATTATTTTTCTTTTGACAACTCAACTCACTAACTACTCATAAGTGATTTTATCGAGAGTGGGGACTATTTTGATGTGCAAGAAGATTATTTAGCATGGAGATGAGATGATTTTGAATAGCTTCCCATTTTATGCATCTTATGTGTTTCTATTTGCAAAGTTTTTTATAGATTTGATTGTTAAAATCAAAAGAAGAGGAAGATAATGACATTACAATAACTAAGAAATGCGTTATTGAATTTCAATTCAATTTCTTCAGAACGCTAGAAATGGCACTACGATGAGATAATAAATTTGGATAAAATTTATGTCAATTTGATTAAGTTGGGCTTAGATTGAAAATTAGAAATAAGAAAATCATATTTTTAGGTTTGAATTAAATTAACTAGTTAACAAATTTATTTAGACTAGATAAAATAATTTTGTTTATTTAAAATAAATAAATTAAAATAATTATGGAGATTCGATTCTTATAGATGAAGAGCTAAGAACCGAATCGAACGCGTCGATTCTCGATTTAGATATCTATTCGAGTATTTAACTTCAGAAGAATTATTCGATTTCGTTTGGGTCTGGTTCGGAAGTTTTGTCCAACCCTACTAACATGTGAATGGTAAAAATATTAAAAAGTTGTCTTAAAAATATTTACTTAGTGAGTAAAAAGAGTAATTTTTGGACAATACTACATTTACCTATACATTTTTATCGAATCTTTTACCTATACTCAGAATAGGAGGGCGGGTCTCACAAGTCGAAATTTTTAAATGCACGTAGAGCCCACGCGCATGTGAGAGTAGGGTACTAATTCGATAACCCATTTTCGATACATATATATTTATCTTAACTCTTATGTTAAGCTTGACATGTTTGATAGCTAATAAATTAATATAAATATTAATGTCTGAATTCAAGAACTACCTAGCACCAGTGGTCTAGTGGTAGAATAGTACCCTGCCACGGTACAGACCCGGGTTCGATTCCCGGCTGGTGCATTGTTTATCCATTTTTGTCAATTAAAAGTTATCCTGTTTTACTTTGCTGGCTTCCAAGAAAAATTTGAAGTAGTTTCAACTAGATACTTTCATGAGAGCCCATAGTTTTATTTTGTTCTTTTTCCAAAATGTACTAAGATCAATGTTATAATTATCCAAAGAAAAAGACTCTACATTGTGCTATTTTATACATGTATTTCCGTGAGTTTTCTTTTAATATTGTGCAAAGCTACGTACAAAGGTAAAACATGGCAATACTACAACAAGGGGGTATTGTTGTGGAGGTTTGCCAAGAGTGAAGAAAATCTTTAAATTTAACATTCATGATTTAAATTGTGCTCAAATTGTTGATTCTAAAAAAAATTATTAATTTATCAGTTTTCAATCTACATTTTGGCATTAATTAGGACTACTAAACTAGGATTGTTAAATAGGACGAATCTAGTCGATCAACTCTCCCATAGACGGGATTGATTCGACTCGAAATTAATTTTCTAGAATATCATAAAATTGTGTAGCAGAGCTTAAGAATATAACCATATACAAGCATAGTTCTAAAGAATAGAAAAAATTAAAAAGAATTCAAAACTCCATGTTTAAGACCTTTGGAGGATTGCAAATTGAACATAGATAAAATTGTTGTTGTCTAACATAGAATAACTCTAACATAGAATAACTCCAAGCATACCATTTAAAGTTAGGAAAATTGTAGCAACAATTACAAATTTTTGAATTTATTAGCAGATTTTATCTTAACATTCAGTTCATGTCAACAAAAGTTCCAAACTTTTAAAAAATTAGTAGTTGGAATCCAAATGGATGGATTTGATTGTTAAATGATCAAGAAAAGTGAACTTTGATAAAATTAAAAGGGGTAAAATGGTAATTTAGAATTAACAATTTTCCAAATATTATTAACAATTAAAACAACTAAAAAAAAAAAAAAATTTGACCCACGCACTGCACTTCAATGCACCCTAACCCAACCCAATCCATTATCATCTTATTCCCTAACCCCACCCTCACCAACCCCCCAACATCCAACCAAACCATAATCCAAAGAAGCCGCAGCTAGGGATGACAATCAAGTTCGTCGGTCCGAAAAAGCTCGAGCTTGCTCGGCTCGAGGCTCTGGAGAACCGAGCCGAGGCTCGGGCCGAGCCCCACTTTTAGGTGTCGTGCAAAGCTCGCATCGGCTTGTGTGGCTCGCTGGCTCGGGACAACCAAGCATATATTTAATTAAAGAAATTAAAGGTAGCACGCTGCCTTAAAAAATAGGCAACAGGTTGTTGCTGCCTTTTTATTTAAAAAAAAAAAGATCTTCCAAAACCAAACAAAACTCGAGCCGACCCGACTCGACACGAAAAGGCCTGAGCCGAAAGCTCGGGTCGAGCCTAATTTTTTTTATTGGGCTTTTGAGCGGGCCCAAAAAAGTTCGAATATTTTACCTGAGCCGAGCCCGAGTCTAAAATTTTAGCTCGCGAGCCGGCTCGACTCAGTTCGTTGACATCCCTAACCGCAGCATCCTCCTACCACCTTAAATCACCAATCCCCGTCTATAAGTCAACGTCAAAATCAAAATCGCAGTCCCCACCCTATCTTTATTTGGCAATTGCTACTTTTTGACATTGAAATTCGATAAAAGAAAACCTAGAAGTCGAAACATAGAATTGAGCATCAAGAGATTAGCCTACGAGGAAAAGAGAAAGAAATGGAAACGTACCATACAGATGCCATTTGGGACATCATATAGTTCATATCAAGATGATTTCTTGTAAAACCTGACATTTCGATAGAGTTCTGGATATGAAGTATGGTCTTTAATTGTGCTGACTTTGTGGGAGGATGTTACACAGCAATGTCATTCAGAAAGAATATCAAAGCCAGATCTTAAGTATATAGAGTAATTTTGAGCAGAAGAACAAGTCCAAGCTGGTCAGTAGAAGAATGGCTACAAAGTTAGTGATAGACCCCCTATTCGGATTACATACTCTAGAAGAAACAAAAAGAATTGAGAGCAGCTAGAAGATCGGTGGAGGATAACAACATTCTGTTATGGGGCAAATAGGAGGGAAAAGGGCGTGTTAGGCAGGCAAATATTGAGTAGAGAAAAGAGTCTTGTAATCATTTCCATTCCTGTAATCTTTTGCAATTTGAATTAAGCAATCAGTTCTTCAAATTTAGTCTTCCTTTAGATTCATATCAAATTGGTATCAGAGCACGACTCCTGATGGCTTAGAAAAAAATCGACAGCAAGTTGGAAGCCATGGAAAAGGATATGGAAGAAATGAAAGTGAGGTTACCTCGGCTAGAAAGATCAGTGGATCAGCTCACCCAGCACATGGCTAAGATGATGCAGACAATGGAGGATACCCAAAAAGCTGTTTCAACATTGATTCACTAGAAGGCTGACTCTAGTAGAAAAACGGAGGTGGTGGATTCGGCTGTATCACGGGTGAATCAGTACCTTTGAACTAATTACCAATCTATTATCAGACATTAGAAAAATCAAAAGGCATCTGAAGGGTCTGGGAAAGCCAACGCAGGCAGAGGGATAGTGGGCTTAAGCAAGATTTGGGAGGAGAATAATTGGAGGCGGGTAAGAAAAATAGAAATGCCCGTATTCAGCGACGATAATCCCGATGGATGGCTATTTCACGCCGAGCGATACTTCGAAGTGAATGGGTTGATAAAAAAGGAGAAACTTGCAACAATTGGAGTGAGTATGGAAGGTGATGCATTGACTTGGCTTCAATGGCCAGAAGCGAGAACTCCATTCTCTAACTGGGGCTACTTTCGGCAACAACTTCTAATACGGTTTCGCTCCACTCAGGAAGGTAGCCTTTGCGAAAAATTTCTCACCCTTAAGCAGGGAGGATCAGTGACTGAGTTCAGGAGGGAGTTCGAAGCGTTGGCTGCGCAGTACAGGAAATATCAGAGGAAGTTCTGGAGAGCACATTCATCAATGGGCTAAAGCCAGAAATACGGGCTGAGGTCCAACTACTACGCCCATTTGGGTTGGCCCAAATAATGGAAACGGCCCAAAGAGTTGAGGACAGGAACTTAATCACCCATGCCAATAAAGAGAACTCGGCCCAGAAGAGTGCAAAAGTAGATTTTAACCCAAGCCGGCTAGAAGAAATGAGGGATGAGGGGTTCCCTACTTGTTCGGTGACTGTCGGAGGTCAACGAACGGCGCCCAAACAAAAGTTTCCAACTTGACCTATGTCCGGTGTAGAGTGGAGGTTACGAAGGGAGAAGGAGCTCTATTTTTGGTGAGAGGCGAGATACATCGTCGGCCACCAGTGCAAGAATCGCGAACTGAGAGTCCTGTTGGTGGAAGAAGAAGATGGCGAAATCGAGGAAGAGAAATCACCATTAACAGAGCAAACAAAAATAGTGGTGAAAGAGGTTGAGTTATCCTTGAAATCGGTGGTCAGATTGGTAACTCCAGGAACCATGAAATTGAAGGGGAAGGTCGGGAAGCAATCGGTAACGATCCTGATTGACTGTGGGGCCATCCACAATTTTATTGCAATTGGGTTGGTGCATAAATTGGGGCTTCCAGTTATAGCTACGACAAATTATGGAGTGATCTTGGGTTCACAAGAATTTATCAGAGGAAAGGGAATATGTAAAAGGATTGTATTGGAAATGCAAGGGTTGACGATGGTGGAGGATTTTTTGGTAGTAATATTGGGCGGGATAGAAGTAATACTCGGGATACAGTGGTCCGACAGCCTCGGTAGTATGGAGGTGAATTGGAAGCTATTAATCATGAGGTTTAAGATGGGAAACATAGTAATGACGTTGAAAGGGACAACAAGAAAGGCATAGACTATAGTTGGGACAATTGTTTGTAATTGATGAAGAAAAGAAGGGGACAATGGCACTATCCCTGGTCATTATGCAACTACTGGAACGATATGAAACCATTTTCAGGGAGCCAAAAAGTTTGTCGTCAGAGCGAGCCTCTGACCATGCCATCTTATTGAAAGAAAGGGCTGAACCAATGAGCGTTAGGCCCTTCTGATACCCACAGGTTCAGAAGAATGAGATAGAAAGATTGGTTCAAGAGATGTTGTCCATTGGTATTATTCAGCCTAGTATAAGCCCTTTCTCTAGCCCGATTTTGCTTGTCAAGAAAAAATGATGGAAATTGGCGCTTCTGTGTGGACTATTGGCCCTAAACAAAGTCATAGTCCCGGACAAATTCCCCATTCCTATGATTGATGAGCTACTGGATGAACTCCAATGGGCTACTGTGTTCTCCAAACTAGACTTGAAGGCGGGGTATCATCAGATCATAATTAAGAAGGAAGACATACATAAAACGGCATTCCAGACTCATGAACGACATTACGAGTTCTTGGTCATGCCTTTCGGTCTCACAAACGCTCTAGCAACATTCTAGTCACTAATGAACCAGGTATTCAAAAAATTTTTACGGAAGTTTTTATTGGTATTTTTTGATGACATACTGGCATATAACAAAGATGTTGCAGCCCATGACCAGCACATGGAAGCTGTGTTCTAGGCTTTAACCGAAAACCAACTATATGACAATGCTAAGAAGTGCTTATTCAATCAACCGCAAGTGGAATATTTGGGCTATGATGTGTCAGCGAAGGGAGTGACGGCCGATCCAGGAAAAATCAAGGCTATGGTTCAATGGCCTTCACCCCAAAACCTCAAAGAGATGCATGGGTCTTGGGATTAACAGCTTACTACCGTCGCTTTATTACAAACTATGGGAGAATATCTTTGCCACTCACACAGTTACTTAAGAAAGACGCCTTTGTTTGGTCCCCGGAGGTAGAGGCGGCTTTCCAACAACTTAAGGTGGCAATGACTACAGTTCCAGTCCTTGCATTACTTGATTTTTCAAAGAACTTTGTATTGGAAATCGATGCTTCGGGGTATGGTTTGGGGGCAGTCTTGACATAAAGCCAACAACCCAGAGCTTACTACAGCTAAGTACTGTCAAGTAGAGCTCAGCAGAAGTCGATTTATGAAAGGGAGTTGATGGCTATATTGCTCGCAATTCAGAAATGGAGGCATTACCTGTTGGGACATCGGATTATAGTCCGAACGAACCAACACAGCCAAAAATATTTGTTAGAGTAGAGGATTGTGCTTGGAGAATTTCAGCGGTGGATTAATAAACTAATAGGATATGAGTTCGAAATTCAATATCGCTTGGGGGTTGAAAGCAAAGTTGCCGACGCACTGTCTCGTATCTCACCTAAAATTGAATTGTTTGCACTCACATTTTCCATGATGATGGATGTAGAGATGATAGCCGAACAAGTGGGCAATGACCCACAGCTTTCTCAGATTAAGTAAGACTTGCAATCTGACCCGGATTCACACCCAAGATACTCGCTCGATCAAGGTAGGTTACTCTACGAGGGACGCCTAGTCCTCTCTCGGTCTTCCACCTTAATCCCTACTTTGCTTCGTGAGTTTCATAGCAGCTTAATATGAGGACATTCAGGTTTTTTGCAAACTTATAAGAGGATGATGGGAGACTTATACTGGGCTGGGATGAAAGGGGACGTAAAGAAGTTCGTGGAGGAGTGTCGTGTGTGTCAATTGAACAATAATATGGCCCTTTCACCTGTAGGACTCCTGCAATCCCTACCCTTTCCTCACCTAATCTGGGAAGATATCTCCATGGACTTCATCGAAGGGTTGCTAAAGTCAGAAGATTTTGATTCTTTGCTGGTGGTAGTTGATCGTCTCAGCAAGTATTCGCATTTTATACCCCTTAAGCATCCTTATACAGCCTCAGGGGTGGCGGCCATTGTTGTGAAGGAAGTAGTAAAACTCCATGGGATTTTCCGCTCCATTATTTTAGATCGGGATAAGATCTTCTTAAGCCACTTCTGGACTAAATTATTTAGGCTACAGGGTAACTTTTTGCAAAGAAGCACAGCATACCATCCGCAAACTGACGAGTAGACAGAGGTGGTAAATAGATATCTGGAGGCTTACCTACAGTGTTTTGCTTATGATAAACCTCGAGTTGGCACAAATGGCTGCCATGGGCGGAGTATTGGTACAATACCACCTTCCATGCTTCTACAAACACTACTCCTTTTCGGGCCGTCTACGGGAGAGACCCCCCTTTGTTAATATGTTATGGATCCCAAAACACAGTAGTAAACTCAGTGGAACAGCAATTGGTTGAAAGGGACGTCATATTGGATGAACTAAAGGCCCACCTTCTTCAGGCTTAAGCAAAGATGAAGATAGCTGCTGACAAACATCGAAAGGATATCCATTTTGATGAAAGCAACCTAGTTTATGTAAAGCTTCTACCTTACCATCTTTGATCATTAGCAAAGAAGCCAAACGAAAAGTTGGGGCCTGGGTATTTTGGCCCTTATAAGGTCATCAAAGGGATAGGATCAGTAGCTTATCATCTCGAGCTACCACCACCAGCTACAATTCATCCTGTCTTTCATGTCTCACAACTTAAGAAGGCTCTAGGTACAGCAGTGGCTAGTCAACAGCTTCTTCCACACTTGGATGTTTCCCTAGAATGGGTAGTGGAACCCGATCAAGTACTAGAAGTCCGACAGGCAGGAAAGGAACAAGAAGTTGAAGTTCTGATTAAATGGAAGGACTTACCAATTTCTGAATCATCATGGGAATTTGCCAAGTCCATCAGTCAAGCTTTCCCTGACTTTCACCTTGAGGACAAGGTGATTCTTGCAGCTGAGGGTAATGATAGACCCCCGTTCGGATTACATACTCTAGAAGAAACAGGAAGAATTGAGAAGCAACTAGAAGACGGGTGGAGGATAACAACATTCTGTTGTAGGGAAAATAGGATGGAAAAGTTGTTAGGGAATGACTATAAATAAGAAAGGAAAAGGGTGTGGTTAGGCAAGCAAATATTGAGTAGAGAAAAGAGTCTTGTAATCATTTCCGTTCCTATAATCTTTTGCAATTTAATTTAAGCAATCAGTTCTTCAAATTCAGTCTTCCTTTAGATTCGTATTAGTTAGTTTAGTTGTAGGAGAGTCTTTAGCATTTAGTTTTGCATTCTATTTCACATTTATCTATTTTTATCATTTACTAGCTATTGCAGCTCTTTTGGTTACAATTCACCAGAAGTTGTTGCTCTTGGCTTATTTAAAGCCATGGATGTAAATAAACAATCATCCATAATTTATTCAATTGCATCTTGTGATCTGATATTGGATAACATTAATAATTGTCTACAATAACCAACAAAGAGAAGGCTATTCAATAAGCCCTTTACATCTATGCTGAACCATCGACCATTACGAAGCCCTTTACGACCATGTTGGATCGTCGACCACTATGAGGCCCTCAACGTCCATGCTGAGTCTTCGACCACTATGAGGTCATCTACCATTATGCGGCCGACACAATACTTAGCCATAAAATCATCATTAAATTGGGGGCAAATAGGATGGAAAAGTTGTTAGGGAATGACTATAAATAAGAAAGGAAAAGGGTGTGGTTAGGCAAGCAAATATTGAGTAGAGAAAAGAGTCTTGTAATCATTTCCGTTCCTATAATCTTTTGCAATTTGATTTAAGCAATCAGTTCTTCAAATTCAGTCTTCCTTTAGATTCGTATTAGTTAGTTTAGTTGTAGGAGAGTCTTTAGCATTTAGTTTTGCATTCTATTTCACATTTATCTATTTTTATCATTTACTAGCTATTGCAGCTTTGTTGGTTACAATTCACCAGAAGTTGTTGCTCTTGGCTTATTTAAAGCCATGGATGTAAATAAACAATCATCCATAATTTATTCAATTGCATCTTGTGATCTGATATTGGATAACATTAATAATTGTCTACAATAACCAACAAAGAGAAGGCTATTCAATAAGCCCTTTACATCTATGCTGAACCATTGACCATTACGAGGCCCTTTACGACCATGTTGGATCGTCGACCACTATGAGGCCCTCAACGACCATGCTGAGTCTTCGACCACTATGAGGTCATCTACCATTATGCGGCCGACACAATACTTAGCCATAAAATCATCATTAAATTGGGCGAGGATCATTTATCGGTAATCATGGACATAACCAACCGTTGAATACATGGAGGTCCTCCAATCAGAATGTGGGAGTAGTGGAAGACGTTCCACGGGATAAGTGGCACTATAAATGCCCAATAGTTACATGGCTCTAGTTACCTATAAATTCTCCTAAGGCGAAATAGGTATGGATCTGAGAAAAATTTGACTATTTGGATACCCATTCTATCTTTTCTTCCTAAATCTAGGTTGTTAAATCTCATACTAATTCTCATGCTAGAGCTACAATGGGAGAGAAAGCCTCAAGCTCATGTCACAGGTAACATTTGTTCATTAGAGTAGTAGAAACACTTTACGCCGCTAAGGCAACACGAAGGTTTGTTTCATAACTATTTCATGGTTTATCTCACCCAAAGAGAGAACTTATTTTTTCTTGCCACAGATCAGCAAGCTTCTAACTAGGATTTATAAGAGGGACAAGGTGAAAGTGCTAAGATTCTCATCATCGATGAAGGTTAGACCAGCGAACAAAGAGCTAGAAGCTGAACTGTAGTTAATGAAATACTTTCAAACCATTTAAACCACTAGAGCGAATACAATATGTTGGAGAGAATACAATATCCAGGCTCTTCCAATCTGAACAGTACCGGAATAGTGTCAGCAACCCTGAATTCGGCTATCGATAGTGCTTCGCATGAATAACTAGCCAATCATTACAATCAAATATGAACTCCAAATCAGGCAATTTCCCAGGGTACCACTTTATTAGCTGTACAATTCTCCACAATATGAACAAAGCCATAGTTTGAATCGATTGTAATTTCTCCACATAAATTTTCCCAACAAAGATCACCGATCTGAAATGGGAAGTTTTGCGTGCTTTTTCAACCATTTCTTGTGTGATCCCCATTTCTCTTCATGGCCTCAAATCTTCATAAATCCATCGAAAAAAAAATCTAGGTGTTTAGTGTTGAATTAAAGGTTTGGATTGGAGAGTTTGTTTGAATTTGTATAATTTTTTGGGCTTGTATTGGTTTGGTTCCATATAAAGCAATCCAGATAAAACTTGGGATTTGGATTTGATGGAGTTCTGCTTTTTGCAACGGCAGTTTAGTCTTGGTTGGATATTGGGAGTGGGGAAGGAGATAAAGATGGGGGATGGGAGTGAGGATGGGAATTGGTGACTGGGGTAGATTTTTTTCTTTTTCTTTTGAAGTTTAATTGTTAATAATATTTGTAAAATTTTTAATTCTAAAGTTATCATTTTATGCCTTTTAGTAGGGCTGAACAACGAAATCGCCAAATCGAATCGAAACCCTTTTTTTGAAACCGTTGGTTTGGATCCACGTGGATCCGTCAACACTTTGGTTTTGAACCGAACCAAACCGCTTTGAAGTGGTTTGGTTTAGGTTTGATTTGCAAACCGTTTCAAACCTCCAAACTGCTAAAAAACAAAAAAAAAGAACAATTTCAGTTTTAATTTAAATTTTATTCAACCCAAGTAAAACCAAATACATCCCAATTGAAAGGAGACCTTCATATTAGGCCCAATCCAATTAAATTCAATACCCAACTTAACAAAATACCCAATTAGATAATTACCCAGCTCCAAGACTCTAGTCTTCTCTTCAACTCTTCAATTTTTCGACTTTGTAACTTCTAGGTTATTTCTCCCTCTTTCAAATTCTAACAACAAAGGTATGTGAATTTCTACTATCTATATTTTTATATATTGATTCTTTATTTTAATTCATGTTCATGTAGGGAGTGTTGTTTGTTAATTTTCTACTTATTTTCTTAATTTCTTTTTATAATCGATCTATCTGATTACTGTGAATGAGTTAGTTTCAACACAACCTCTATCGATCTAAGATTTCGTCCTGCCTTGCAGCCATTCTCATCTTGTAGCTTCTTAGGATTTATTTATTTTTGGAAATTGTTGTTTCTTGATGATCACCTATACAGTTTCTGGCTAAATTAATTAACTGAATGAGGCACATCTCCATGCTAATATTAGGTCGTTTCGTCTATTTGGGAATGATGATTTAGGACCAGATTGGTCAAAATGTATATGTGTAAGCCCAAATGTATTTGAGTTATGATCGTATGTTAGGATATGGGTGAGATATGATTTGGTTTTCATTTCACAATAGAAGATTGCAGAGAAACAGACTTGGTTGTAAAGATATTAGTCAATATAAGTCAATAAGCTTCCCAATCAAAGTAGCATTGGTGATAACCAGTTTTTAGGTTATAATTCTGATTCTAGTTTGAATTAGCGAGAGACATTTTAAAAGGAATAATGTTTGGACCTAACATGAAGATATTTCCATCTACATTGAGTTAAATCTCACTCTTCAGCACGTGCGCATGATGTCTATATATTTTTCATTCCACCTTGTGTATAATTTTTATTAATAGTTATTCTTGTGGTAAAAAATAAATAAATAAAATAAAAAACACACTATATTCAAGCCTTTTTGGTATTTCATAATTGATTAGGAGTTTCTTTACAAATTGTTGCAGGTGGGGGACCTGTCTTGAAATCTTTTGCTGTTCAAATTCTTTTGTATATTAACTTTGACGTCATGTTGAATAATATGATTTTTTTTCGTATGTAGATAATCGGATATGGATTCAACTTTCGAAGAGCAAAGTAATCATGGGACCGATGATAAAATTCTAGTAAAGAGTGAAAATGTGAATTTGCAACAAAGTGCGAAGGGTAAGAAGGGACATAAAAGGTCCGATGTGTGGGCTCATTTTGATATAAAGAATGATGGAACTGTAGAATGCATTTATTGCGGACAAGTGTATAAGCATCAATCTAAAGGTGGGACTAGTACATTGTGAAATCATATCAAGGATTTATGCAAAAAATATCCATATAGGTTTCAAGACAAAAGGCAAAAGACATTAAATTTCTATGGTAACTCTAGAAATGATGAGGTTTTGGAGAGTGTTAGTAGTGGTGGACAACTTGTCAAGTTTACTCAAAAAGGGTGAGAGAAAAGATTACTAAGTACTTTATATTATCTAAGTTACCTTTTTGACACGTTGAAGATGAAGGTTTTCAGTGTTATACAAGGTATTTTTTTTCCGACTTTTGATTTTCCTTCAAGGATGACAGTTGCTAGGGATATATATCGTTTGTTTTTCGATGAGAAGAAGAAATTGAGGAAAGAATTGAGTAAACACCAGGTTTGTTTGACTATTGTTTATTGGACATCTATACAAAATGTAAGTTAAATGTGTTTAAATACTCATTGGGTTGACGATCATTGGAGACTTAAAAAACGAATCATAAGTTTCACCCAAGTCCTCAGCCATAAGGGTGATATGGTAGGAAAGGAATTGATATCTTGCCTTCAGGATTGGGAAATTAATAAGATTTTCTCTGTGACGGTTGATAATGCCTCACCTAATGACGTAGTAATAATGAAATTGAAGAGTTGTTTTCTAGAGAAGAAGAATGGTCTAGTTCTTGGGGGAGAAATGCTTCATATGAGGTGTTGTGCTCACATTCTCAATCTTATAGTTTGTGATGGTTTAAAAGAAATTAGCAATGCTATTTCATCTATTTGAAATGCTGTACGGTATGCTAGATCTTTCCCAGCACGACTAAAAAGATTTCGAGAGAGTTGTAAGGATGCAAATATTGAGTCTCGAGGTTTATTGTGTTTGGATGTATCAACTAGATGGAATTCCACCTATATGATGTTACAGGCTGCAATAAAGTTTAAAAAAGCATTTGATGTTTTGGAAAGTGATGCAAACTATACAAAGTACTTTGATGAAGAAAGGTCTAATGGGAAAAATATAGATGGACCACCAACACATGTCGATTGGGACCAAGCAGAAGCATTTGTTGGATTCTTGAAGACTTTTTATGATATGACATTGAAAATTAGTGGCTCTTTAAATGTAACGTCAAACACTTTCTTTCAAGAAATATGTGAAATTCATGCAGAGTTGAATGAATTAGCTAAAGAGCCAAATAGTATGATAGGATCCATGGCAGTTAGCATGAGAAGAAAATATGATAAGTATTGGGGCAATCTTGAAAAGTTTAATCAATTGTTGTTCATAGCAACAATTCTTGACCCTAGATGCAAGTTGGAATTGCTTAAAGTTGGGTTTGAACTTATTTATGATGTACAAATTGCAAACATGTTGTTAAAAAAAGTTGAAAACACGCTTCACAGGTTATATGAATGCTATAAGGAAATGATGAATCCACCATTAGTCCCACCTAAGGATGCTACTCAACCTAGAAGCTAAAGTGCTTTACAAACTGCTTTGGGAACTTCTAAACCTATTCCCTCAATTTTTAGAGCTAGGCTTATGCAAGAAACTCTAGCAGAGAAGAATGATTTGGTGGATTATTTAAATGATCGTTGTGAAGATTTGACCAATGATGATTTCGACTTATTAAATTGGTGGAAATTGAATGAAAATAAGTACAAGATTGTCTCCCAAATTGCCAAAGATGTGTTAGCCATTCAAATATTTACGGTTGCTTCTGAGTCTGCATTCTCTCCTAGTGGTTAGATTCTCGATCCTTTTAGGAGTTTATTGAGTGCAAAGATCATTGAGGCAGTGATTTGCACTAAGAATTGGTTACATAGTAACAAGGAACCTATTGTGATTCGTCAATATTTGGATGCAGTAGAAGCATTGGATGATTCAGAAAAAGCTATAGAAAGTATTATCGTATTTTATCTTTCTATTCACTTTATTTTATAGTTTTTTAAACCATTTAATTTTAATAATTGTATATATTTGTTATATGCAGATAACGAATCATGTGTTACTACTGGAGATGTTTTGCCAATTAGTATTGATTAAAAGGTTAGAACCAATTGTTTCACTGCATTGAATTATTAGAACTGAAAAATATTTGTTCATAGTATTTATAATAATACTAATATTTATATTTTAACGTGATATTTAAGATTAAAATTTATGATTTAACTTGTTCGATGTACATTTTTTTCGTTAAACCGTGGTTTTAAACCGAACCAAACTGAAAAGGTGGTTTGGATTGGTTTGGTTTGGAAATTGAATTGGTTTGGTTTGGTTTGAAAAAAATTTCAAAACGCTTTAAGAGGTTTGGTTTGAAAATTTGTCACAAACCGTCCAAACCGAATTGTGTGCACCCCTACCTTTTAGTTTGGTCAAAGTTCATATGAACTCCAGTTGCTAATTTTTCAAAGATTTGAAACCTTTGCCGGCACAAACTAGAGGTTAGAGTAGAGTCTGCTAAAAATTCAAAAGTTTTGGACCATTGCTTCCATTAATACAAAGTAAATTAAAATGGAAATGGAAATTAGTATAAATGGGCCTAAATATTTGTCCACCTTTTTTGGTCCAAACTTTTAAATCTTGGTGCAAATGGTCCCAAGCCTTTGCTTTCTTGACACAATTGGTCCTTATGGATAAATTTCATCCAAAATAACCATTAATTATGAGTGTGAAATGCACCTTCTTTTAAAGATAAATTGTGTAATTTAGTCCCAATTTGAACCTTAGGAACAAAAACACGACAAAAAATTTGTTTAAGTACAAGATTGCTACTTTTGTGAAGGTTGGGACTATATATACAATTTATCTTTAATAGAAAGTGCTAAAACTAACTGTCCTTTTGAACAAAATTCACTCAAAAGGACCAATTGAACCAAGCATGCAAAACTTTGGGGACCATTTACTCCAAGATTTAAAGGTTTCAACTAAAAACACGAAATGGGCAAACATCCAAGAACCATTTTGCTAAAAAAACCCATATACAAAAACTAGTCTGGAGGATGCATTGTAAATTGCACAATCCAATCCTGATAATTACCATATAGAGCATTGAACTTTACTGTTCTTCATTTTTGGTTGTCAATCATATTTCATGGCTAAATCCATCTATCCAAGCTGAAGCATTTTCTAAGGGGGCATTCACAAACAAAAATAAGGCAAAAAATGGCATTGACAAGAGTCAAAACTCACTAATAAAAGTGTGGTAGCACGTTATTGCTGCAATTGGCTTTACTTGGCAGTTGCCACCAAGTAATATTATTACTCGAATAAAGATAATTGTACATAATTTTTCAGACATAAGGATATTAATTTTTTATACATAAGGATATTCACCCTCTCACATGACGTGAGACTCACTTAAATATTTTATTTGAGCGAGCCCCACCGACGTGAGAGGGTGGACACCCCTATGTGCCAAAAATTATGTACCCTTAACATTTATTACTCACCCAAAGAAGGCAATATTTTGCTCTAGACACACTTCATCTGGGTCCAATTTTGTCGCATTGTAAAAGAAATTACGAAAACAAAAATGAAATGTTATTAATCATTAGTTATCTCCATATATCCACTTTCCAGCGTTGCTCATGTAACTTATCAATTCCTTAGGTTTGAACCACAGTTTGATTCCATCCTTCGCAATTTCCAAACCGTCACTACCATGAATTATGTTTCTGGAAACAGAAAGGTATTATATTAGGACAACACGTCCATTAGCATTGAACTAGGACAAATTATGTAGGAAATCGAAAGGAACCAGATTCATAAATCCTTTCACATATTTTCATTAAATTTCCATGTTGAAATCAATGAGAAAACAAAAATAAATGTGGAAGCGTACCTTGATCCATAGATCTGAGTTTTCTGAACGAATTATGATCTTTCAACTGCTACGTGATTCTTGAGATCTGTTCTCTGTTGATGAGGATGCAGAGATTTTTAAAGTCACGTGCAATTGGGGACCATGACCCCATATTAAATAACTGATTATTATCTTTCAATTATTTTAATTGGCCCCTCATCAATTTAAAATAATTATTCCGGTCTCTACACTTTAATTCCATGAGAATTAAAACACATTAGTCCAAAATTACACATAGTGGATCACCTTATCGACTAAACCTGAAAGATATCACTACACATTTTAATATATATATACATGTATGGCCCCATACGATGGAATTTTTCCAACAATCTCCCACTGGGTCATACATGTAATATTACAAATGTGTGCAACTTTATGAGCTCAAACTTTTGTTATCATTTTTAAGGATAGTTCCAAACAATCTCGTCCATCAGTCATATTGACGTAGGATCAAAGCTTTTGTCACATTTAGAGTGACTAAATCCATCAATGGTCACACACACCTATACAACCAAATGATAAAGATCAATCATGGGAGTGTAGCATGGAAATTACATGTTATGTGATCCAAATATGTCTATTTCGAACTGGTCCAATCTTATTTCTTAAGTGAGATCAATAATAGAGTGGAATGAACTGAATACTTCATTTCTGTACAGAAAAATATCTAAATACACAAATGTGTCCAAAGTAAACATAAAGCAACGAGAATACGAACTCCCACTAAAACATGATATCCTCAAGAAATACAACATCCATGCGAGCAGTGTGCTCATGAAAGACCTTGGGTGGTAGTCCTTTAGTGAGCGGATCCGAAATCATGGAGTTTGTTCCCATGTGCTCTATAGAAATATGTCCACTCTGTATTCTTTCCTTCACAACCAGGAACTCAATGTCAATGTATTTTGATTTCGATGAGCTCTTGTTGTTGTTAGAATATAGAACTGCCGAGTTATTATCACAATATAACTTTAGTAGTCTTTCGATTCCATTCAAAATGCGTAGCCCAGTGACAAAATTTCACAGCCATATTCCATGTTTAGATGCCTCATAGCATGCTACAAACTCTGCCGCCATAGTAGAAGAAGCTATGATTGTCTGCTTGGCACTCTTCCAAGAAATAGCTCCTCTAGCTAGCAGATAGATATAGCGTGATGTAGATATTCTATTGTCTTGGCACCCAGCAAAATTAGAATCGGAGTACCCTATGATCTCTAACTGGTCCGATCTGCTATATGTGAGCATATAATCATTTGTTCTCTTTAAATACCTCATAACCCTTTTGCCCGCTTTCCAATGATCCATCTCAGGGTTGCTTAAATATCTGCCTATCACTCTAACAATGAATGTTATGTTATGACGTGTACAAACTTGAGCATACATCAGAATCCTAATAGCTGATGCATAGGGAATCTTTTGCATTTCCTTAGCTTCAAGGTATTTTTACGAGGATTGTTTGAGACTAAATTTGTCTCCCTTAGCCACAAGGGTGTCACTGGTTTACAGTCTTGCATGCTAAACCTCTTAAGTACTTTATTGATATAGCTCTTTTGTGACAATCCAAGTATACCTCGAGAGCGATCCCGATGTATCTGAATCCCTAATACAAAAGATGGTCCATCCTAGGGTTGCTTAAATCTCTAAGTGGTCCGATCTATTATATGTGAGCATATAATCCTTTGTTCTCTTTAAATACCTCATAACCCTTTTGGCTACTTTCCAATGATCTATCCCAGAGTTGCTTAAATATCTGCCTAGCACTCCAACAATGAATGCTGTGTCCGGATGTGTACTAACTTGAGCATACATCAGACTCCCTATAACTGATGCATATGAAATCTTTTGCATTTCCTTAGCTTCAAGGTCTTTTTACGAGGATTGTTCGAGACTAAATTTGTCTCCCTTAGCGACAAGGGTATCACCTGGTTTACAGTCTTGCATGCTAAACCTCTTAAGTACTTTATCGATATAGCTTTTTTGTGACAATCCAAAAATAGCTCGAGAGCGGTCCCGATGTATCTGAATCCTTAATACAAAAGACGTGTCACCAAGATCCTTCATCTCAAAATTTCTTGATAAAAATCTCTTGATTTCGTGCAACATGCCTATATTGTTAATGGCAAGCAGTATGTCATCAACATACAAAATCAGGAAAATATGCTTACTCCCACTGAACTTATGATACACATGATCATCAACGGCATTCATTTCAAAACCAAATGGGATAATAACTTGATGAAATTTGTGGTATCAATTATGGGAAGCTTACTTGAGCCCATAGATGGATTTCTTTAATTTGCAAACCATATTCTTCGGGTTTCCTGACACGAAGTTTTCTGGTTGCACTATATAGATTGTTTCATTAATGTCGCCATTGAGAAACGTTGTCTTAACATCCATATGATGTAATTCAAGATCAAAGTGCACAACAAGTGTCATAATTGTCCTGAAAGAGTCTTTCGTTGAAACCGAAGAGAAAGTCTCTTTGAAATCGACGCTTTCCTTCTGGGTAAGGCCTTTAGCCACAAGACGAGCCTTATATCTTTCCACATTATCATTCGAATCCCTTTTTGCTTTAAAAATCCATTTACAAGCAATATGCTTCACACCTTTGGGTAATGGGACAAGATCCCAAACCTTATTGTCTTGCATAGACTTATACTCATCATTCATGGCATCAATCCACTTTTGAGAGTCAGAACCCTGCATGGCTTGATGGAAATTGATTGGATCATCTTCCGCCATTCCATTATTTTCCTTACGTTTTTAGAGAAACACCATAAAATCATCCGGAATAGCATTTTTCCTCTCTTTCGTGGATCTCCTTAATGTCATTGGTTCTTGAGGTTGTTGAGTTTGTACTTCTGTAATAATTACCTCATTTCGGATGGGAGCTTCTTCAACATTGTCTTGTTGAGGTTCTGGATATGCTTCTTGATCAATAACAGGTATAGAAACTTGTACATTGTCAAAAGCAATAGTAGGAATGGAAACCAATCCTTCCTCAAAGACAATGTCTCTAACCTTATTTCTCCCTCCAAACTCAACATCCTCAAAAAATATTGTGGTTCCCATTTCAAAAATTGATTTAAGTGTGGGATCATAAAATTTATAGCCCATAGATTGCTCAGATAACCAATAAATAACTGTTAACTATTTTGGAGTCCAATTTATTTCATATGGCCTATAGGGCCTTGCCTCAACTGGACATCCCTAAATATGAAAATGCTTTAGACTAGGCTTTCTACCTGTCCAAAGCTCAAAAGGTGTTTTGGCAGCAGCCTTAGTTGGTACTTTGTTTAGAATATAAGCTACAATCATTAATGCCTCTTCCCAGAGTGATTTTGGTAGGGTGGAATGGCTTATCATACTCTTTACCATATCCTTAAGAGTCCTGTTTTGTCTTTCAGCTATACCATTCTTGCTAGGTGGTCCTGGCATGGTGTATTGTGGGACAATTCCACACTCCTCTAGGTATTTAGAAAATGGTATTGGACACTGTTCACCTGATCCATTATATCTGCCATAGTACTCATCACCACGGCCAGACTTAACGCTCTTTATCCTTTTGTTAAGTTGATTCTCAACCTCAGCTTTAAAGGCTTTGAACATGTCCAGTGACTTAGATTTTTCATGGATGAGATATAGTTACCCATAATGTGAGTAATTATCCATGAATGATATAAAATATTGTTGACCGTTCCAAGAAACAGTAGGGAAAGACCCACAAATATTCATGTGCATCAATTCTAAGACGTTCGAAGTTCTGTTAGCACCTAATCTCTTTGTTTTGGTCTATTTTTCCTTGATACGGTCCACACATACATCAAAATCCCTGAAGTCAAGGGAATCCAAAATACCATCTAATACAAGTCGTTCAACTCTAGCTTTTGAGATGTGACCTAAGCGCTTGTGCCATAATTCTACTAAATTTTCTTTATTTAATTTGCGTTTAGTATCACGTTATTTCACATGCAAAGATTCATTATATGATGCAATAATATCAAGCAAATATAGATTATCATATGCAGATATGAACCAGTACTAATAACATTAGAATTTAATGAAAGATTAAACTGATTGTTTCAAAATGAACAACAATATCCAAATTTGTTCAGCAAAGAAACAGAAACTAAATTCCATCTAAAAGACAGCACAACATAAGTGTCTTCCAAATCCAAGTAATAACTAGTTCCCAAAAATAACTTAAAAGTGCCTATTATATCAACTTCCATCGATTTGCCATCACCCACATAGATATATCTTTCACCATCACTTGATTTTCGGTGGCTCAAGTAGGAGCATAGAAACACTTATGTGAGTAGTAGTACCAAAGTCTATCCACCGAGTCTTTCTAGGTACTAAAGCTAAATTATTTTCAGAACAGACCAAAGTAAGAATTGTACCTTTCTTTGCATGCCATACATAATATTTGGCACAGTCCTTCTTTACATGTCCAGTTTTATTGCAAAAAAAAAAAAAAAAAAAACAAGTTCCTTTATCTTCCTTCTATTTCTTTTGTGCTGGACCTTTAGGAGAGCTTCATATTCCTTCTTCTTTTTCTTGCCCTTATCCTTAGAAGTGCTTATCAAGTGAGCAACTTCAGTTCTATCCTGCTTCAACCTTTCTTCCTCTTGCACACAATATGAAATGAGCTCATTTAGAGACCATTTTTCCTTCTGGCAATTATAACTGACCTTAAATTGACCGAACTGTGCAGGAAGTGAGATCAATACCAAATACACGAGTAAGTCATCAGACAGCTCAAACTTTAGCCCTTTAAGTTTTGAAGCAATGTGAGACATCTCTATATGTACTCCCTTATGTTCCCCTTACCTTTATACTTCATTGAAATCAAACTTTGCAAAAGCATGCTTGTTTCAGCCTTATCATTTTTCACAAAACGTTTCTCAATTTCGGCAAGGAACTCCTTGGCATTAGTTATCCCTTCAGATACTGCACCTCTAAAGGCTTTCGGAATCCTGCGCTCAATGGTCATTAGACTTATGCGATTTGAGCGATCCCACTTCTCAGAGTTTCTCTTTTGATCAGGCGAACTTTCTTCCGTAAGAGGAGCAAAAAAGAGGAGTGAGTTTCTCGATCCAAAGAGCAAGATCAAGATCCATGTGGCCAAGAACGATCAATACGTTTTCCTTCCAATCCTTGAAGTTTGTTCCATTTAGCATGGGAATGGAATTGATATTAGCAGATATTGTAGTAGCAGATGAATTAGCTGTACAGAGAACAAAAATAAACAAATAATCATGCTCATATCTATATTTAATGTACAATAAATTCAAATAATGGTAAGTCTCATCTCAAGATACCTAGTGCAACATTAATATCAAGTCTTTGGACAATAATATTAATTGCTAGTGGTACTCTTAGTACAGTGATCAAATATTAACAATAACTCCTGTCAAATAATAAAACCATCTTTGGATTGATTTATTATTCACACTATATATGTGTATGTAATTCGGCCAAGTATTAACCTTCTTTTGGACTGGCTAATACCCGGATGAAGAAACACACACACACAACATCTAAACATTCCAAACAAACCAATCTACACAAAAGGGGTCACTTTGGTGACATTGTTTCAATTAGTTTGTCCAAAATGTTAGATAACCTCAATTCATTATGAATGATTTACCAAATTATTCAAATTTGATTGTCTCACATAATGAAACCTTAATTATTTTTCTTAAAAGAGTCCTTTGTGCCATAATTTGAGAAAGCGAATCATTAATTTTGCATTATTAGATGCCTTTAGAAACTTTAGGGACCTAAAGGTTAATAATTCAAAAACTTTAGGATCAAAAGTTGAAAAATCTTAAAACTTTGGGGGGCCAATTTTAATTAATTATAAAGATTGAGGGCTTTAATTGCAATTTTTTAAATTTTAATGGGCCAAATTAAATAATTTCCAAAATTTAGGGGTTGAATTATTAAACCCATAACCTTAAAGGTCCGATTTGGATGGATTTTAAACTTTAGGGATTGGAAAATAAATTGGAAAATAAATTTTTATTTTGAAAAAATTATTATCCCTAATTTAAATTGCAAGCAAGGGCTTGAGAATACCAAAATTGCACCTTGCGCCCTCGCCCTAAAAAATCCATCCAATTTAGAAATTCTCTCTCTCTCTCTCTCTCTCTCTCTCTCTCTCTCCTCCATTTTAAATATTCTCTCTCTCTCTCTCTCTCTCTCTCTCTCTCTCTCTCTCTCTCTCTCTCTCTCTCTCTGCCTTAGTGGCGCTGGCCAGAAGCAGCGGTGCCGACAGTCGATTGTAATCGTCGGCGGCAAGTGTGCCGCATGCTAGATCGAATTTTTTTTATTTTAAATCCAAAAATTGAAAATCAAAAACAGATTTTAGAAAACTTTTACCCAGATCTTGATCCAAAAAACTGAATTATCCAAAAATTCCATCCATATCTTGAATTATAATCATGAACAATATACAAAATAATGCTCGAATTCAACAAATAACAGATCTGAAAGAACAATAATAATAATAATAATAATAATAATAATAATAATAATAATAATCAAATTCAACAGAAGTATATTCAAAGTTGTCAAATCTAAAAATCTTTTAAAATATAGCAAGATCCATATTTCACATAACAACATGATGAAGACCTAAAAATAATCCACAATATAAATTTGTAATAACATTAAATCTTGCAATTTCTCAAAGAATTGAACAATGGAGTGGCTCTGATACCACTTATTAGAAATTGAAAGGAACCAAATTCATAAATCTTTTCACATATTTTCATTAAATCTCCATATTGAAATCAATGAGAAAACAAAAATAAATACGGAAGCGTACATTGATCCATAGATATGAATTTTCTAAACGGATTATGATCTTCCAACTGTTACGTGATTTCTTGATATCTGTTCTTTGTTGATGGGGATGTAGAGATTTTGAAAGTCACGTGTAATTGGGGACCATGGCCCCATATTAAATAATTGATTATTATCTTTTAATTATTTTAAATTGGCACCTCATCAATTTAAAATAATTATTCCGGTCTCTACACTTTAATCCCATGAGAATTAACACCTATTAGTCCAAAATTAAACTTAGTGAATCACCTTATCGATTAAACCTTAAAGATAGCACCACACATTTTAATATATATACATGTATGGCCCCATACGATGAAATTTTTCCAACAAATTAAGCCACTAAAGCTTACAAGTTCAAAATAAGATAAGATATTTTTAGATTCTTTTTCCTTTTTAATACCATCGACTTGTCGAGTTTAGTCTAGTCCATCTTGAATTTACCAAAAATGTGAATTGAAGTATGACATGATTTTATAAACCACAAAAATTAATTTTATGAAAAAAATTACCTTCCAACGACAACAGCCAAGTCCCCTCTGATGGTTCCTGGTTCAGATTTATGTGGATCTGTAGCTCCTATGAGTTTACGACCATATTTGATGACTCTTTCGCCTTCCCAGACTTGAATAAGTACAAGGTTTTGAGATCAATTCTCTTATAAAACAGTGTAGAGAAAGTAGATAGGTGTTGAGCCCTTCTAACCATAGCTACAACTGGTCCAGAGCTAAGGAATTCACATAAGACATTGAAGAAAGGTCTCTCCTAGAGATCATGATAATGCTTCTAGGCAAATTCATTTTTAGGAACCAAAATCTTGATTGCCACAAGTTTATAACCCTTGCGCTCAAAATGTGATATGATTTCTAATATCTAATACAGTAGAAATTTCTTGATCAGACAAAACTTGAATGTGTATGTTCACGAAATTATTTCCTTTCGATTTAAAATTACAGCAAGTGTACGATTCGTTAACAAGTAATAAAGTGAAATATTAAGTTCTGAATATCGTCCCACGGAGATCGCCTAATTCAATTTTATCTACCTTAGTCTTAACCGAAATGAATTTATCAAAACAGGAATTTATTCTTAGAAAAACCCTAATTTATGAAAACGCTAATTTCGCTAAATGATTTGATTATGCAAACTATGTGTTTAAATGAAATTAATCACACAATGATGATTGGAATGCAAAATTGATTGTATTCAATAAAATTAGAAAACACTAGGATCACGAATTCCTATATAATAATCACTTGAAACCCTAATTTCACAATTTGACAACACAATTTGATTATTGAAGACTCAATGCTCCTAAGTCTATCCTACACACTCTCTCGAGCAATATTGAACATGTTCTTATTTACCATCAGCCTATATTTCTATGACAGATGCATATACATGAGAATTCATGGGGTTTTATGAACAATTTAAAGAATCATGCAAAGCATAGAGGTATATTTCTATTCCCTATCGGGCCCTACGATGATCTATACCTTGTCAAATCTATTTTCCTTCTCTCAAATATAAGAAATAAATCACTACACATCACATAATCGCATCCACTCAATCATAGATGAAATTAATGTATATAAATCATTCAATTAATCAAATATGCGTTAATTATCAAATTGCAAGAATTAAAATCCAAATATCATATTACATATTTCATCGATCTCCTAGCATGAGAAAACTTAGCCTAACATTGAGAATTTAAAGGAATACATGAATTCTTGAAAATAAAACATCATCGGATATTGAAATTTGATGAAATTTTTATGTTTTTCGTGAAATCTCTTGTTGATCTCCCTCAATTTGGTCTCTAAGAAGTGTTTTGTTCTCCTCCAATCTGTTCTCGCCCTAATTCTGATGAGTCTAGGCTTTTATATCACGTCCAAATTGTCTTCCAATAGAGTTATAATGTAAAAAGGAAACTACAGAATCCACCCAAAATTTTACACCATGCGGCCTCATGGTTGAACCAAATTTGGGGTTCTAATTCCCTGTTGGAGACTGTGCGGCCGCATGGAAAGAACACCATGCGACCACATGGTTTAATAAACTTTCATTTTGTGCCGTTTTAGTCCTCAAACTCAATTTTCTTGTTTATTGACCTCTTTTCTTCGACTATTTTGTTTCATCATCTCATATTAACCTCCAATTGGTACTTGGCACTATCAATTCTTTGATTGCTCCTTTGGTTCATCTTTTGGATAATTTCACTTTGGTCCCTGAACTATCACTTTGATTCGTTCTGGTCCTTTTTACTTCTTTTTCTCGTGAATTTCATCAAGTCCATTAGAAAACCCTACAATCCTAGAATCAAACGAATTTAGTTATCATTTCAAACACTTTGCTTGTATTTTAGTCATGTTTGTGAGTTATATAAGTACATAAAAACGCACTTATCAGTGTATATAAAAACATGTAGAAGACTTGGACACAAATCCTCGGTGAAAGAAGGGGTGGGGGAGGTTCCAAGTATTGATACTCTTTTCTATCCATAAGTGTATATATTATGTGAAGATAAAGAAAAACCAAAGTGTGCATATTATGTAAAGTAAAAGAAGAACACAGTAACCATGTTAAATTGGGAATAACATAAACAAAATTTCAATTTATAGAGCTTGTCTGTCTAATTAGTGCAGAAAGAATATGCCATAGAATGACTGATTAAGTTTAGCATTAAATACCAATCCTCTCTGCACTCCATCAGGCTTGATGGCAATAAAAGTGCGCTCCATCTTTAAAGAGCACAAAAAATGCAGCATCAGTCAGCAGAGTGAAACTAACAACAACGACGTGTAAAATTATATACATATAAAATGACAGAAAAACCTAGGTGGAATGGAGTACCTCAGCAGCACGTCCCTCTTGGTCCTGGAGCATGAAAACTATGCTTACAAAAGGGAAAAATGAGATATCAATTAAAATTCGAAGTTGGAGAAAGCTACTAATATCTCAAGTAACTTGAGTTTTCTATAGTGATCAATGAGACTCGAATCAATCAGATAATCATTAAGAACAGATAGCATTTTTGCATTACAAGAATTTATATGTTTATTTTATGGAGAAATACAGTATAAGACTTATTCTCATTACAAAATTGAGCAAATTCTTTTATCTCATTGGCCTGCAGAAGCACATAATAAGTGCTGGAGAAGAGGGATCGGATGCACAATGCTAAATTTGAGCAATTTCCAAGGCTGCTCGTTAATTCACTCCGACTTATTACTTTGTGGCATTAAATCAAAATCTGACTTATCTTTCCATAATTTCACCAATTTGAACTACTTGTATAATACTTTTTGCACAAAGAGAACAATATCATGCAATTGTAAGTTGTATGGAAAAATAACTTAAACAAATAAAAGGGAAAAGGTAAAATAGTCATAATAGCTAGCATACCACCAAAACAGATGAATACATCCATGGAAAAAAAATGCTCATTCAAAAACACTTATTGGGTAAATAGTGGTTGACAAACCTGCTGATGGAAGGGCAATGGCTCCTGCAATCCAACTCCTATACTTGTTTCCTGATTCAGATGCACCGGAGGAAGCTAGAGACGAAGCTCTTCCTCTACATGAAACTGTAGCTGCAGCAGCAGCAGAACGCCCTCCTGGAATATCAAATTCTTTAATATCTTCTTGTTTTTCAGCTTTAGAATTTAAATTTTTTCATTTACATAAACTTAGATCAATCATAAACAGATTAGAGTGGGCACACATACAAAATAATGAACCGTCATCATGAAATACTGCTAATGACCCTTTTCAAATTATATAAGCTAGATAATAACTTGATGAAGTCCTATATTCATCTGGAACTTCATCATTATCATAGCTCCCCTAAATATCAGTAAAATCAGACAAAAGTAGTCATATTATTTGAACAGCATTATTTCAATGCACCTCAAATTTTCAGTTGAATAAGTCTCTACCAACCGACGCCACAATCCAATTACATACAAGTGAGTCAAGTGACATAGCTTTACTAATTAAAACCTCATCAATTATCCTGAAAAAAGATAATGGCATCGTCTTCAGCTATCTTACAACACTAATAATCACTTAACAAATTAACGATCAGAAATGCACGAAACATCTAAAATGAATGTAAGAAATTAACGGAAAAGAAAATCGAAAGAGAACAAAAAAAAAATATATTACAGATCTAACATTGCAATGAACAGCGATCAGTAGCCTATATGAAATCAACATCGTAACCAAAGTTGAACAATAAATATTGAATAATTTCTTCACGAGAAGTCCTCGAAATTACCCGAAAAGGAACGAGAAGTCTGCTTAGAAGCAGCGGAGAGAAGAGTCCTCGCAGATCTGCAAACTGAGACCTCATTTTCAATAAATTATTCTTATCTCGTCGATTAGAGTAAGAGAACTCAGAAAAGCGGCACTCCGTTGAGTATAAATGTCATGAGTTAAAATGCTTGTTTTCGGTTACTCAAGGCTGTGTTTGGTACGAAACCAAACGTGAACGGAAGAGAGTGAGTGGCATTGAAAATTTTGAGATAAAAGGTTGACAGTTGAGTTAATTGGAATTATATCCAACCAACTAATTTATTTTGGAACTTCAAGAAATAAGGTCCGTTTGATTGGAGTGAATTTCATGAATAATGTTACATTCGGGAATTCGTATTCTACTTTGGCTGTTTGATATGAAAGTGAAAATGGAGTTCGAGTTCCAATATACAAACACTTAAAGCATGTTTTTGGCCAATTCCATAGAAAACGCATTCGTATGATTTTGATGATTTTTTCTTTTCCAACTTACATGGAACTGATTTACCTTTTTCACATTTGCAATCAAACTGACTCTAAAATAACTTGTGTGACAAAATTTGAAGAATAATGTCCTCAATCTTTTAATATTGTGCGCGTAGTACCTCTACTTGAAAGAAATTGACTTATTGAAGTAGAATATTGACACGACACGTACATAGATTGGTGATCATATAACACCAATGAAATGTATGTACATTTTTTGGTGTTATTATTTCATAGTACATCACCGACCACATAGATTGATGATCATATCCAATGGAGATAAATGTTATTATTCATAAATTTTCAAGGCATTCATCGTTTATTTATTTATCGATCTAAATAATCTAAGTAATATTAAAATTAGGAAAACGTCTTACTACACCTCCGCTCGTAAAGCTTGAGGCTTGAGTTACCTCTACACCTTATTCCTTATAGAATCTTGACTAGGATCAGATTGTTGCTAATCAACCACTAATGTATAACAAATTTGGATTTTAAGATGGACCACAAAAATAGGATAAACTTATTTTCATCGATTGGTACTTCAATCATTAGAAAAATTAAGGCTTCACTCTCCAACTTTTTAGAAAGTTTGCAAAAAGCTCATCAATATTCAAAAGCGATATTTTGACTTCCCAAATTTTATTTAAAGTTATGAGATTGAGTTCTTACGATGGGAAACCGACAACATGAATTTAATTTTCTTGAAAACTAAAGTTAGAAAGTAAAACTGTACAGTCACTTCTTTTTTGCTTTCTAATTTTAACGTAAAAGGCAAGTGCGATTTTAACTTTACATTATTGATTTTGTTACATTAAATAGCTCGGGGTTTGAAACCTTCCTTTTGAAGGTTAGAGAGTCATCTTCACAATATTTGAAAGGTTGGGGATTAAACTATACTAGTATAAGAATTGGATAACAAAGTGAAAAATAGCAATTAGGGCTAGCCTCCAAATTGTTGAGACACATGCCAAAGTTAACTAGCCTGAGAATTGATTTCCAATTTCTATGATTTCATGCTCTCTCATTAGGGCACTAAATTAATTTGGAATATGCTACTTATACATAATACGATGTTTATAACAATGTCCATTCCCTCACAGAGAGAGGATCCACTTCAGATAAATTATCTTTCATTTCGAAGTCAGTCCCTCCTATGTGAAGAGGGTTGACATTGTTATGGATACTTCGGTGTATTTATAGCATCACCTAATTAATTTTCAATCTAG